ACTGCTACTACTCCTGCCGCTGCTGCTGCTAGTACCACTACTACTACGATTACAAACTACTCCCACTGCTCCTGCTGTTGCTCCTACGACTATTTGTACTCGTACCACCAGTACGACTAGTACTACTCGTACTATGAGTACTACAAGTACCACTAGTACTGCGAGTACTTCTGGTTCTACGAGTTCCACGAGTACTATTCGTAGTGGTAGTACTACTGGTACTACTAGTGCCACTGGTGCTGTGAATACTACTAGTACTACTAGTACTACTAGCACAGCTAGCTAGCTAACTAGCTAGCTAGCTAGTACTAGTAGTAGTCGTCGTCGTCGTCGTCGTCGTGGTACTAGTAGCCAGTGGTGGTTTGGGACGTTCTGTCTAGGTGTGCGAGAACCTTCGATACGTCGTCATCTCCTCCGGGAAGCTGCCGGTTTCGCTGCGCATCGTCTTGGCCTCAGGAGGGGTGTAGAGTGTGGCATCCGGGGCTTGATGTGGTGGCCCTTGTTCAGTTTGGACTGGTGACTAGTAACGAGTGTTTGGTGGTTTAATTACTGCTGGGTAGGCTCGGCGGGCTTTAGGAGATGTGGTGTTTAGGAATAGGATGCGCCTGTCAGGATTAGAATCAGAAGGTATGGTTGGTGCCGGCCCAAAGTGTCGCAGTGGCTACATCGCGGCATGCTCCATGCTTCCGTTGCTGGGTTGTTACCGGTTTATCCCCAAGTGTTGCAGTGGGAGCCTGGTGACTGAACAGAACCCGAACAGAACTCTCGAGTCTCTAGAGCAGCTCACAAGTTAGCAAGCAAGACCTGTGGAGCTTACTCAGCCGCAGCAAGCATTCCGGCCTCATGCAGATGCTGCAGATGGGTTTCTGGGGGCAGAACTGCTGCACCGTTCAGGTGCATGTCGGACCGCCGCCGGACGTCTCCATTCCACGCCATCTGCAGCCTCCTCAGGATGCAACAACACAAGCAAACCAACGAACTCGGTTCTCGTTTTCTCCGAGTTTGCGATCTGAAGCCTGTGCCAGTCGCTGTCCACTTGCCGACTGCACGCTGTTGCTACGGAAGAAGAAGCACTGCAAGCCGTTGTCATTTGCCTGCTGTTGATCACGAAGCGGTGTTGAGGATTTATAATCGGCTAAGTTGCGGAGATGGCCCAAAAGATCGGGCTCAGTGCAGGTTCCCAGGCAGTACCGGCATTTCGTAGAGTTTTCCCATGACATAATCCGCCGATCTTGCAAAGCAGCCGGTCTGTTGACATGGTCTTTGAAAGTAGAACCGCTAATTTGGGACTCCGCGCTACTAAAGGGTAGGAACCCCCTTAAGGGCTCATAAGGGACTACTTTGTTTCAGAGTTCACCGCTGCCTTTGTCCGGCTGCACTCCCGTCGCAGAGGTTTGACCCGGTGGAGTGGAAAGAGCTGCCCTGGCAAGGCCCATTGATGTCTCTGTGCGGGCTTTGTGTCTCCGGGCTGAGGCCTCTAGACACCGCGAGCCATTGAGTGGTGTACAGTGCATGAGAGTTATAGCTTTACATCCTGGCATTTACTAGCAAGTCTGCCTCAGAGTACCAGCACCACTTGTACCACCAGCGCCAGCACCGGCACTAGGAAAACTATGCTGGTGATAGTGAACAGCAAGCGAGGCTGCAGTTGCATCTTCGAACTGGACGAGCAACATCTAGCAATTCTGAAACGTCAGCATCCCAGCTTTTGGTGGCGTTTGCCAGTGTATGGCATCGAATGAACGGTTTGTGGCCGAGGTATCCAGTCGCTGCTGTCAGCATCGCCTTTGGGGCCGCTTTACCAGCTGGTGCCACCAGGCAAGGACTGCAACGGACTTTCCTTTCGAAGGCTGCAGTCTACATGGACCTGAGCCCAAACAGTCGAAGTCTCCGCACCCTGTCGCAGAGTGCCTCTGCCTCAACCCGGCGCGGTTACTCGATCCCTTTCGGCGTCCCGAGCTCCTGTGCCAGCCCGGGCCCCGGTTACGAAAGGTTTGGGGGATCTTTACACCTTGAGTGCCTTTCCCGTAAGGGGCCCGAGCGTCGTTGCTGACAGCCCTGGAGATGAATTGGACTGGCGAGCCTGCTTCGAGCAGGTTTGGGCGACCAGGTTTAAGCTTCACTTCATCCTATCCCTCTTTTGAAGCTCCGCTTGGCAGGTGCAGGAACGCCTTGCAATCCCGCTGCACTCCGCGTCCTGCCTCAAACTTCAGCCATTGCCCGCAACTGCAGAAGAGGCATCGGCGATTTGCCTTGTCAGGGTCCCTGGACGTACTGGCCGCTGCGCTTCGATCGACAGAACCTCAGTGTCACAGGAGAGGGAGAGATCCAGCACACTTTGTAGCTGAGCAGAGTGTATTTGCGAGATCTCTGAGGTGCTGACTGCACGACCGTGACCTTGGCACCGACAGGCTCATGAAGTCAGATGTGTTCACGGCCTCCGCGCCTCCGCAAACCCGAAAATGTTCAGGTCCTGTGTGTCAGCAAGCCGTCAGCACCCCAGACGGGTGCTTCGAAGCGTGGAGTGACTGCACCATCCTGCATCGCCGCAGGACTTGCACACACCATTCAAACTCCCCACGTGTGATCCAGGTCTCCTCGTGGGTTGCTGCCGTGCAGCAGGCGAGGTTACGGAGTGTTAGATCCTGCAGGCATTCGTCCGAAAACGAAAAATGAATGTGCCCAAGATGATACATGCTTCAGTTTCTCTAGACTGCCGGATGCAACGGCAAGGCCAGCGGGCTGCGAAATGCTGCGGTTCCGCGAGACATGCTGACGCTGACCTTTGCCTATGAGGCTACAAGCTCGCAAGCTCATGACATGAATGTCCAGGGAAAAGCAGCTGGCTGTCTGCCTATGCAAGCACCAAATCCGCACTCACAAGCTGTCCAGCCATGTGATAGGCTAATATTTGCTGTGAACATGAGCCTGGGGTGATGACCTGGTTTGTTCGGGAGATTTCGGGAGGTCTCACCAAAAACTCTGCATCACGTTGTTATTCTGAAGCTGACGGTATTGTTGAGCACTGCTTACTGAGCGAAGACGCACTTCGACAATTTGTCACAGCCACTCTGATCGCCGTCGTGGGAAATAGAGCCGGCAGACTGAAGCACGCAATGAGTAAAGCAGCATGTGGTAGGTGTTCCCAGTCGAGGGCGAGAACGCGTCGCAGGCGCCGTCGTTCGCCTGTTTCTGGAACCACCGGCATCTTGTGTGAAGTACGGTCTCTGCTCGGTGCTAAGCAGGTCCGACGTGACCTTGTTCGCGAGATCAAAGCAATCTTGGACAAGGCCCAGTGCTGCAGATTGCAACCTCAACAAATCACGACAATGTCGCGACTAGCTTGCAGCCATGCCGGCATGGTGCCACCCGATGAAGAATCAGCGCGAAGCTGACATCAGCTTCTTCATAAAGCTACTCATGCTGCTGCTGCTGCTGCTACCACCAGTACTACTACTACTACT